CTTATTGTGAAATTCGGTGTTTTCAGCAGGGCAAAGGTCAGAAGCCACAAACTGGTAGGACTAGTCTGTTTCTTCTTTTCTGTGGGAAACATTTCATAGCAGGAGGTCTCTAATCACATCTGTGCGTACAGAGAGAGGCTCAATGAGCCTTCAGCTCCTCTGACACTCAGCTGCTGAAGCACACACACGCACAGTGCTAACAAAACACACACACACACACACACACACAGCTGACTCACAGCTCTGAAACCGGACTACACACAGACTAGGACATTTTATTCTGCAAATTTGTCAGATAGCTCCTTACTACTACCTGCCAATCTCTCCAGAGGTCAGAGGTCAAAGTCAGCAGGGCTTCAGAGTCACCTGAACATGGAGAATGTTTGCCGTCAGAGTCTGAGGGTAGCTGGTCTAGATTAGTGACCTCCAATCTGCAGCTTCTCATTCCAACTGAAGACGGTCCCTAGTGAAGCCAAATCGAATGCTGTCACATCGTTCAATGGCCCATTATCAGTTGCTGTCCCAGTGAAGCCAAATCGAATGCTGTCACACCATTCAATGGCCCATTATCAGTTGCTGTCCGGACCATAGTTATACAGCAGGTCAGTAGGGCCCAACTCCAACTACTAGTAGGCTCAGTAGATGCCTGTTATCGATGAGGTGACATTAGTGGCCGTAGCAAGAAGGACACAAGCAAATGAGGAAATAAGGTGACATAGTTTACTGCATGTCTGCAAGCGGAGGAGGTTGGGGTGGTTGGATGGGTCAAACACAGGAGACCGGTGCTCCAGTCCAGAGCAAATCACAGTGATAAAGGGCCACTGAATGGTGTGACAACTTCTGAACCAGGTCGTTTAACTGACTGAAAAAGTTCCTCCTTTGTGGCTGAGGGTGTGATCTTCAGTAAAATGATGTTATGTTCACTCTGTGTTTAATTTAATGTTTCACGTCTCCTTTTTAAATACGACATTGTACATGAAATGATCACAGCATGGTTCGCAAAACAAAGACAGCGACTCTATTTCAGAGACTCAAGCTGCTGACGTCTTAAAGTCCAGCAAATATAGTAGAAACTCTCATTTTCTGTGATTTTCTGACAGTAGATGTTGGACACACATGATCTTCAGGCTTATTCTAACATTTTGAAAGACACAGTGATATCATAGTGACACCATTAGCTGTAAATGCTGGTACAGTAGTTAGACGACGACAACAGGTGTGTGTGAGGACAGGTGTGTGCCGAATACAGCAGCCATCTGTCCACTTATTACTCCTCTTTCTTTTCTTACCTTCTCTTTGTCTGGACACGAGCTCGGGTGTTTTATCATGTAATAAAAACTGCACTGGTCACAGTATAAAGAGTGTAGCTGTGTGTTATCGTGTTACCTCAACACACGCCGTCAGTCTCCACAAGCAGTTATACACACTTACGCACCATGTGGTTGTGTGGTTTGTTTTCAGTTTTTACTATTTTCATCAAACCTCATTTTAAAAAAGGAACAAATCAGTTTAAACTTGTTTTTAGCTCTCAGTTTAATATTTTTCTCCAACACATTTTTTTTTTGGTTTGTTTCCTGCCATCAGTGAACAGTAAACCAGGTTGTCACATAGGTTTCCACTAACAGACAGTGAGAAGTACAGCTGCTGATTATAAGAAGTCACTGCCAGCAATTGGAACAAAGACTCGACACACTCCAGACTCACCCGAGTTCCTCCACAGCAGACTGACCTCCAGACGCCCAGAGCGTCGCATCACTTTTGGGAAGCGATAGAAAAATCCAGACATTCTCCTCAAAGTTTTACC